TGGCCTTAGAAACTTACTGAATGTTTTGGTCAGGCTGGGACATCGTTCTTTTCTTACAAAAAGCAAGGATGAAATCCTGGTTTTGGCAGGGTCAGTGAGGGGTTTGCCATCAGCATTCGGAGGGATTTGCACTCTGTCAGTCCTTTGATCTTTTAAGAGAAATTACTACATGAAGTTTGGTTTCAAAAAGAGAAACCAAAGGAAGGTGTTTTGGTTGTCTGTCCCCAGGCTGATGCCTTCCTGAGCAGTGGGAAGGAGCCTGCCCAGTGCCTACAGTCTCAACAACAATAAGAGGACAGGGGTCAGAGCTCTGTTCCATTCAGATTTGCCTCACAGGCACCCTACACTGGCTTCTGGCTTGAAAAGATGCTCTCAGATGACCTGGGCTTTCCTAAGTTGTTTGATTTGGTGAATTTAGCTGGAGGGTGTGGGCCTGTCTGGCAACCCTTGCAGACCATCAGCCATGTCTCCATTCCTATCCCTACCTGTCAGGTTTTGCTGGAGAGCACTTCCAGCACTGTTCACCACCACCACTGCTGTAAGTCAACCTCCTTCTTTATTTTTTTGCCCCACCCCCTCCCAGGAAAGTCTTTGATATTCTGCCACATGATCCAAAGGAGCCTCCTGGAAATCCCAGCCATTACAGAATCCCAGAATGGGTAAGGCTGGGAGGGACCACAGTGGATCCTCTGGTCCAACCTCCATGCTCAGGCAAGGTGCATTATTTTAGCACCTTCTCCAAACACCAGAATCCTGTTCCTGTATTTTAACAACACATTTGCCACCACGGCTCACTGAGCTCATGGCTGCAGGAATGGCAGCTCTGTGCTGGGTTAAATTTAAGATGTAGCCCTTTGAATGTTTCAGGCCATGAGGGACAGTCTCATGTCCAGTCAGTACCTGTTTATTTTCAGGCTGTAACACTTGCACTCACCCTGTTCTAAGCTCAGGACATTTTGCCACGATTCAGAGGCACAGCCTCCATCAGAGCTGCACAATCCACCTCATCCCTCAGTACATCGTCCCTGTCACTGACTCAAAAAACCCATTTCTAATGGATTTTATCTGACTTCAGCTTCCAGCCATTAGTTTTACTTTGCCCTCCTTTGCAAGACCAGAGATATCATCAGCTCATGGTATTCTCACTCATTTCACCATGCTTAGGGGGTGTAATAAAGTCTCTTCTCAGTGTTCTCTTAGACAAACTGGGTGATCTCTTCATTTAATCACATCACATTTCAGCCTCATGTACCAGTGACTCTTTTCCTAATCCACTGGTACCCTTATATGATTATAACTAAATCCACATAGGAGACAGACCTGGAAAAATTACCCCTCTCCTTCCCTGCTGGTCCATACCAGTCCAAAATTGAAAATAAAATGATTCCACATATGGCTCGAGTGTGTTTCATTTTGAATGTCACTTGAATTTGTTAAGCATTCAGGTATTTTGTACTTGTTTTGTCTATTAAAAAAAAAAAGTACAGGGTATCTTTTCACCCAGATGAGCATTCACTTCATAGATTACTTGAGTTCAAAATGAGATTTATAATAGCTCTCAGCTGTATAACATATATAAAATTCTCCCATCTTATGCTCAAGGAAGGGAAATATCCTGCTGGAGCAGTTTTACAATTTTATTCAAAGGACTCTGAAATACATTTTTCAGCTTTCCAGAAGTATTTTCTGCTTCTGCTAATTCTTTCCAAGACTCAATGCAATTACTTGTTAATAAAAACATGGTTTAATATGCTGGCAGAAAAATTGATACCATTTCCATTCTCTGCCTTAAAACAAATGAAACGTAGGAAGGAACTGAGCTGTCTCATTTCTGAAATGGGAAGCAGATATTTTTTAAAGTTCAGATCATTACCAAGCATAATGTTCACGTAACAAGCTTAACTGACCTTGTGCTGTTACTTCTCTGGAGCTAACTTTGTGGGGAATGTATTACTTGCAAAACCTAACAAAAAAGGAATAGTGCTTCAAAACCTTCTGCCTGCTCACTGATCAAACAATGTCTCCAGGTGGTCGTCATGGGATGGATTTGTGTGGCAGCAGATAACTGTGCCTACTGCACTAGGGCTGTGGAATAAAACCCACAAGCCACACTCTTCCCACCCTCTTTTTGTCCCCAGTGCATCAGGCCTAACTAACTAACCAGTGCAGGCTGATCTGGAGCAGTTCAACTGCCCTTCAGCTGCAGTTACTCTGGCTGTCACTAAACCTAGAGAAAGCTGGTTACTTGGATGCAGCATCTGTCTTTTCCTTGCAATAGCGAGAACCAAGTTCAGTTCCTGCTTCTGCCTCAGGGAAAAGGAGGATACATCCACCAGGCAGCTCCCCAGACAGTGCATGATGTGCAGCTTGCAAGGGGGAGAGGTGAAGCTCTCCTCAGTTATGGCACTGCTGACACAGGGAAGGAGAGGGAATGACATTCAAGACTAATGCTCAAGACCCCTGGCAGGGCTATGGGTTAGTGCTGCTCCATTTTAATATTTAATTTCTTCTAGTGAATGAAAAACTATCTACAAGGGACTGAAAATATAACCAGGTCAGAATACCTCGGGGTTTGGTCTCTAGTTTATGTGAAATAATTGTTCACATTCAGAAGGGGCCTTGGATCTCTTGCTGCTGAAGGAAGTGCCTGGATAAGAAGCCACCCAAAACTCCATTTCTGGGCCTGATCACCCCACCTGGGGAAAGACCTATTCCATTTGCAACAGATGTGGAGAAGGGATCTCAGCATTACGTGGGCTGATAGCAGAGTGTGTGAATAAGGCTCGTGTAACCTTGCAAAGCCATGGCTGAACTTGTTGAAAGTAAATTCAACAGAGGGGCTGGGAAAGAAGGAGGGCAATCATAAGGAAGGAGAAGAATCTGTGCTTAAGGACAACAGTGACAAAGAATAAAAAAGTATGAACAAACCATAGACAAATTCAAGCTTGAAACTAGATTTTTCTTTGACCACCTCCTCTGACATAACAGAGGGAAGAGAAAATGGTGACAGCTTTGCCACTGGGGAACTACTTAGTTTTAAGATGAAGCCTGCTAAGCTGCCAGGTGGGATTAGAGGGGATTGATGGCAGTAGCAGAGGGCAGACACAATGGAAGGTGCACTGGAGATGCCCATTTCTGGGTTTCTGCAGCACCACTGGAGAGCCTCGAGAGGTGTAAGCTCTGGGATGGGAGTTTGCTTGTTTGCTTCCCTAGAGAGCCTGGATGACATTAGATATCAGCCCACATTTAAATACCTATGCCCAGATTTTTAAAAGGAAAGAACTAACTTGAAATTTTGATCCCTTTTCAAGGCCTATCAAGATTGATACCGTGCAGAAATCTGAATCCTTATGTTTGCTTTGCTTCCCTTTCCCTAAGAAATCATTCCTTTGTCTGTCTTCACAGAGCTGTCAACCCTCTGGGACAGTGACTGCTTCCTGCTCAGTCTGAGTCTACACACAGTGTGACTCTGACCTCTCATGGGTCTATCAGCTGCTACTGTTATTTCAACACAAAACACAGATATGCATTTAACTTTATGTAACAATAACTGTTTACCTTTCAAAGGTACCCTTTTCATAGAGACAGAATACTTCCAAAACAATTAAAAAGAAAATCCAAATGAATTGCCACAGAGGAAATTAAAAGGTTTTTCTTAAGTGGAGAATACACAGTGAGTACCCCCATTCAGTGTGCAGTGGAAGGATTGCAGGAATGAAAACACACAGCCCTCCATAAGTACCAACTGCTGCACAGGCCTGCAGCCTGCCCTCCTGCCACATTAGCCTTCAGCTAATGTCAGGAAAAATGTTTTGTCTCAGTGATATTTATTTTTTCCTCCCAGTGTGCTCTGCCAGGTTTGATCTGTCCTTTTTTTTTTTTTTGCTTTACCTTGTAAGATCTCAGTTATGAATGTGCAGAGCTTAAATTAGGAATTGGAAAAACCTCTTAATACTAAGCATTTCAAGGAAAGAATTTATAAAACCCAGCAATGCTCCAAATGGATGGTTCAGAGGAGAAGTAATCAACCAACTCTGTAAATGTCAAGGGGAAGATTAGCCTTTACTTCTGATGAACCCAAATCAGCAGCCACACTGAAAAGTGCCTTTGCATGTGGAACTAAAAAGACTAATTCCTGCTTTAACAAAGTCTTTGACTTTCCTGTAGCTGCAAGTTTATCTCATTCACAAAACCAAGCTCACCTTGATCTAAGAAGTTGAAACACCTTTGAAGACTATTTAAACCCTTGCTGAAGTTGATAGAAGAGTGTTGGCTGAGTGTTTCAGATAAGCAATTACAGAAGGAGGATTTTTACTTTGATTTTTGTTTGGATTACAAGATTAGTCCCTCAGCTTTGAAAAGCAAACCAGAAGGAGCCTAACTCTGAATGTGACTTTCCCTGGTGTGGAAATTTCTTGCTGTTCAGTGAAGGACTAAAGCAAAGCTTGGGTACCGTGGATGCTCCACACAAGTACAAACAATAAGCAAACACAGACAATAACCACAATACATTTCTTGCCACATTTGGTCAAAAGTCTCCCTAATACATCTACCCTAACCTGCCTGGTAAGGGTTTGAGGAGCACAAGTCAACCAAAGGCTCCCCGGAGCAGTAGGCACCGAAACACTGCCTTGGGCCAAGAGCACAACGTGGTGCTGCAGCACACGGGGTCTGCAGAGCTGCTCCCAGACAATCCACAGCCAGGAGTCAGGTAGGATTCACTGGGCTCCCCAAAAATAGCAGCCTGCACATTTGGCATTGTGACCATATAAGAAACTCCATAGGCAGAACACAGCAAGAAGCAGTGCAGTCTGAAGCTGGCTACCCTGGCAGGCACTGACTCGTGCACTGTAGAAAACAAAACATTAAATACTTGATTTAGCACTTTCAGATGTGGAGTTAATGCACAGAGCAAGATTTTTAAAACACTACAGAAAATATTAGTCTATTTGAGTACAATTACACAATCTTACCGTGTGTCAGTGGGCTGATCTGCAAAGAGGAGCTGGGAGCTGCAGGCATCAGCAGGGCAGCAGGCAGTGCCCTCCCCAGCCTGGGGCAGTCCTGGTGTGCCCAGGTAAGGAGGGCAGAGTGAGCTGGGTGCTGGTAACAAGGGTCAGCCAGGGGTTCTGTGAGCGTCAGACAGGTCCACGGGGATGAGGTAGATCCAAAGTCACCCACAGCACATCAGGGCTGGCCTTGCAGATAAGCAGCCAAATCCAGGACAGGGGAAGAGGATGTAGAGCCTGGTGGCACACCCTGTGGGCATTTGCCATGTGATGGCAGGGTAGTGAAGGCCTTCAGATGCTTTCTCTCAAGATGGTGTGTTAGTGACTTCCTTATTCCTGCCTTCTGGTGGCATCCATGGTAGAAATTATCTGAACTGAAGCAGAAAGGCTTGGGCACCCTGGGGAAAAAAACCCAAAAACATAACAATTGGAAAAGATTAAAATGGTTTAGTTTCTTTTTTAAAAAGAAATTATGTTTAAAACCACAATAAGTTAATTTTACAGCATTTTTTTTTCAGCCAGGATGACAGAGTGTCTCTGGCATTTACAGGAAGAAGAGACACAAAAAACAAGCTCCTGTTTCCTGTTCACGTGGAAAACCAAAGGAAAGGAAAAATGCAATGATGAGAAGTATAAACTACTTGAGAGATCTCCATGGTAAGCTCTTGAAAATCTTTTGTAGCACAGGTATTTCAACACACCCAAATAGTATTGAGCTCTTTATTTTCCCTATAAACAGTGAGGCACAGTAATTTCACAATCTGTCAAAGATAGGAGCAGATAAAACCAAACTGTTGAACCAATAGGAAATGGACTGTGAACATCACTGATTTTTGGCCTCTGTTGTGTTCTCAAGTGATCCAGAACTGCCAGGCATTAATAGAAGATCACTTATTGCCCAGCAATTGAAGCAAAACATAAGGAAATCAGAGCTCTTGTTCTCATATCAGTGGCATAGCAGAAACGTGTGAGAGATTCTTGGGAAGACTAAAACTGCAGTTTGTTGAAGTTAGTGAGCACATTAAGTGGGCTGCACAAAGGTAGCACACTTAGAGACACCTCTAATCCCAGTTACAGGGAAGGATATACCAGAAATGAGCTCAGAAGCACAGTCATGTGTATCTACACTGATTTTTAACACATTTTTGAAGCACTGCAGTCTTTGCCCTGGTAAATGCCTCTCCCTCCAGATCCTCCACCTGACCACTGAGTAGGAAGATTGTTTCTTTAAGCAAATTAAACATGGTGTGGGTTAAGGCATCATCAGTTTCCCCAATAACTGATTAGCCTTTTTATTTATGGCCATTACTACTTTTTGGGCTGTGGGTGTAAGCCCTGAAAAGTGAGGACTCCTTTCTCCTGCTGTTATTGCTCCCATGAAAAGCTTCCTTCCTTTCCTAGCATTAGGCACCACTCACAAGATGGAGGCTTAGCAAAGAAGGGGTTCATTTTCCAGGACTATTTTTGTTTCAAGCAAGTTAGTCAAATGTAGAACTAACCTCTGACAGATTCTGAGTAGATTCACAATGCATGAAATTTAAATAGAGAAATTTCTCTTAAAAAAAAAAAAATTCCCCTGAGCCAAGAGAGGTCATTGGCAGAAACCATAATTAAGGTAGCAAAACGGGACAGCGTCACAGGGAGTGAATGGGCCTTGGCAGCTGGTTAATGGTGCTCCTCAGCTGCAGCACTCAGGGCTGACCAGCTCTGATTTTGCTCCTGACGTATCACTCCCTTCGGTCCGTGCTGACCGAGCCCCCTCAGCACAGCTGATTGTGATTCACTCGCTGGCTCCCGGGACACAGCCGCAAAGTTAACTCTGTTCAAATATTCAGCCTTAGCGTGGAAGATCCTCTGAGGTGAAGTTCCTCCTTTGCTGTCCCTCTCCTCCCCCCTTCCAAAATGACAGCCGTGGAGAAACAGAAGGCTAAATGTCCTTTAGGACACCCAGATCTAAATGTGGCTCAATGAGCTCTGGAGTGCAGCTGGCAGTGACACAAAGCCACCAAAGGCCTAAACAGGGATTCACAGCTGGTCGGACAACACAGCCTTGTCTGTGTCCTGCACACCCTCCTCCTCCCGCCCCAGCCCCAGCCCAGGACAGTGTCTGTGTGGCTCTGACGTCAGAAGGTGTGGTGAATGGGAAAACTTTATTTTTTTCTGGACTCTGCATTTTAATTTATATCTTTGTAACCCCTTTCTAATGTTTCTAGCCCCAGTGGTTTCTCTAGCCCAAATCCTATGAGCAGGAGCTGATGTTTTACACTACATACGTCAGGTGACCTACAAGCCCAGAAGGTATGAGTGTTTTCCTGCTCAAGATTTGCTTCATTAGAATAGTTTCCTGCCCACGTTGTAACCATGTTTCCTGGATTTTTTTGTGCCCCCTCCCTGCTCCTGGCCATCAGGCCACACACCTCCCTTCCCATCCTCCAGCAGACAGGTCCCAGCCCCTGAGGGGAAAGGACATGTGTTTGGGAAATGCTGGTGGGAGAGGGACTAGGTGTTTCCCATCACTTTTGTCCTCTACTTCAAATTTCAGAGCCAACAAACAGGCCAACTCCCCACCCAGGTGAAGGAACTTTTAGGCTACCAGAGGTCTGGCTTGCTCTCAACAGCAGGTGCCTGTTCAGACAGGTCCACACAGAGGCACGGCCACTTCTGCTGGACATTCTCATATCCCTGGTGCTGCTGCACTGCAGGGGGGAAATACAAGTCTGATGCCATTAAAAGGGATGAGAGAAATCCATGGAAAGGAGGTTGTGGGTTGATGGGATGGGTTTGGTATCTGCTGGAAGATACAAGGAGACGAAAGGGAGCTGGAACAAGCAGGAACTATAACTTTCAGCAACTGCTACAGAGGAACTAAAAACACCAATGGAGATAAAAGAGATGCAGCTGCACTGGCATCATATTTCCTTCCCACACTGGAAGTGCAACTTTCATATTTATTGAGCAAACACATGAATGAAAACATCATAAGCCTTTCTATTTTTATTTTGGCAGTTACATTTTCAACTCATGAGATCAAAGATTTTTTCACAGGCAATGAAGAAAGTTATTAAAGAAATATTTAAAGACAATGAATTAACAGTAAAAGACATTTTTAAAAACTGGCTATGGGAAGTAGTCAAATTGGAATCAGAGCAGCCTGTTAGATTACAGCAAGCAATTTCTTAGAGCTGCTTTTTGTTCAATAAATTCAAAGACTATGTGTGAATCAGGCATTTATCAGTGCAGATCTAGGCTTTGCTGTGTGAAGGAGAGCACACCTTGCCAGCACCACTTTTGCAGGGAGTTTGGCAGTCAGCCATGTTACAGGAAACTGAGAACAAAATCACTCATTGTGTCCTGTTATATTTTAGCTTTTATCACCACTACAGAAGCTTAGGAGTTTAACTACCCTTTATCAGCAAACACCAGTCTTTGCAACCAAGAACTGTACCTTAACCAACACATTCCGTCACTCTCATTTGCTGGTGCCTTAATATAAAAATATCCCCCTGAATCCCACCTTGGACGTGTCTCCACAAGTTCTTTTACTTAATGTAAATATCAGCACCTTGTCCTAAATCAAACAACAGCACACCATAGCCTACAAATTCCAACTGTCTCTACTCTGTCAGCTGCCTTTGTTTATTTTCGTAAATCGTGCTTTGAAACCTGGATGCCACGAGTTATCCTCATGTTTTCATTGCTTCATTGAAAATTGAGGTTTCATATTTGAGCCTTATCTGCACAACTTCAAAATGACATGCCAGTCTGTTTTGTGGAATATTTCTTTGCTTGTCGACTCTCTAGTCTTTGTGTTTGTTTGTAAAGCTCAGTATAGCTCAATAAACTCTGTGGCACCTGATGTCCACCTCAAACACAGTGAGGTCTTCTGGTCTGACATGGTTTGTTCAAAGGTCTGCAGGAGCTGCATTAAAGAGCACACCTGAGGTGACAGCACGTTTTTTGTTGCTAACCCTGTCCTGATTCAAATCACAGTGGCAGTGCTGCTCACCATCCATCCATCCATTCATCCATCCTTTAGCAGACTAAGCCAGAGGGCAGGCTGGAAACCAAACCTGGTGCATGCCTTGACTCAGTCCTGGGAACTGAAGGTGCATAAAGGAAGGTGAAGCTTTGTTACCTACAAATCTTCATTGTTTTGATAGCTATGAAACGTTGCTAAAAAAGATGCATGGTTGACTTGTTGGTCTACCATGATGCTGCCACTAAGACAGAAGGGATATGCACAGGTGAGACAGAACAGCAGAGAGAGCTGTGAATCCCCTCATTCTGCTCCCCTGTGTGTTACAGACCCAAGTCTCCTTTCATTGGCATTAGCACATGAACATTTCTACCCAGTGAGGACTGGAGATGAATTCCAGTTTGCTCAGGCACTTAGGCCTGCCTGCAAGGCAGAGCAGCTGTAGCCTCAGAGCCAAGGCTGCCACCTGAGGCACACTTTGTTCAGCAAGCATTGGCTGCCTGCCTTCATCTCCCATTTCCCAAAAGGAGCATAAAGTCTTTGTTTTTCTTTCAAGGAGGTGAAATTGCGATAAACTCAACATGAAGACAAGGGACATGCCAACAGAGCCTTCTGGGCTGAAGTTGGATGCTGAACAATTAGGTACATGAGAAGTTTAAAAAGGAATGTTAATGGAGCCAGTAAGGGGGAAAAAGGGTATTTCATTGTCTGTGGCTTGCTGACCCAGTCCTCATGAGCAGTGGGTTCTGTACCAGAGAGGTATTTGATACCAGGGTACTGAGAACACCACGTGCACTCACACCTGTGTAACTTAACCAAGGTGTGTGCCAGGGCTGTGCTGCTCACCATGCCAAGCAGCACCAGAGGCTGAACAGGCTCTGCAGCCTCTTTAAAGAGCTGATTTCAAACTGGCTTCTCAGCAGTGACAGATCCAAGATGCGAAAAAGGAGAGATTTAACACGTCCAAGAAGTTCTGACAGAATACAGTTGAACATCTTTAAGTATCTGAATACAGTAAAAATCTGCTATAAAAGCCTTGTAACTCAGAGACAATGTACCATGAACACAGTGGGTTTTCATGCAAATCCTTAAAATGTTACTTCTCAGTTTATGCATCATTACAGGCAGCTTAAAAAGGTTTTACAGAAATATATTTCAATCTTGAAGTGCTAGTAGTCAACTATTCAAAGAATGATGAGATAGGAGAACTCTCAGCTGCTTTAGTATCATTTAGAGATGACATAAATGACACTGAACCTTAGAGGGTTTGGGAAGTTAAATAGCTGGCATTAGCAAGGCAGGGCAGAAATAATCTCTATGGTAAGCACAGGCTTTACCAACATTTACTTTATTTCATACAGAAAGGCAGTTGTTGCTATTTCAGAGTAGACAAATCTTTTTGCACCAAATGCAACAAACTAG